ATTAAGAGCTGAAACTAAACACAAAAATTTCAAATAAGAAAGTGAGGTTTATTTTCGCCACGCCTTACGGGTTTACATATGTATAGGTCAGAACAGTTCAACTCGTAAATCTAAAATACAGAATATTTTGTCATACGAAAACTATGGTGCTATATAATATAATAGTGCGATATTGATAAGATTATTCAAATATGTAAGCAGCACAGTTTAACTTATAAATGAAGGGTTTGTTAAAGATATCTTGATCAACAAAAAACTTTTTCGTTCAAAAACTTTTCGACCTTTATTTTCTATGGCAGATGTTGATAAGATTTTCAAGAAATTTGAGAAGCATAGTAAATTTAAAAGATGCCGATGTTGGTCCAGCTATCTTAATATACCGTTCGCTGAAACTGACAGACTTGTGGGCGGACATGGATATATCAACCCGCCTATTGATGCTGATATGGAATATATATCATTTATGGGGTCGAAGATGTCTCCTTCTATGCGCTACACATTTCATGACAAAATTATAATGACCTCTACAAGGGTATATTGAATAAAACAATTTGAATACATTAGTCAAAGGCAATTCCTCTCTATGCAGTATGGAATTCAGCAAAGTCACTTTCAATCAATTGAGCCGAAATGTTGACCTTTAGTTATGTCTATATTTGAATAGTTTGACAGATCAGAGTAGTATATGACTTGGCTAGCTTAATAAATTGCATAACAGAGATGCGTATAGTTGTGTTCGGCTATCTATGACTGATATCACACCCGCTCTCACGCCCGGGCAACTGTAATTAACCGAACAGCCCGGCGATAACTCGTCTGATATACTTTTAACCCCATATGAACTCTTGAAAGACGAAGCCGCGGAGGCGGCGGCGCAGGCGCAGGCGCAACTAATGAGCAGCAGCAGGCAAAGGACGTGGGATGAGGGGTTAGAAACTGGAACCACCACCGTAAGCATTGGCCAACTGTTGTCTATTTGTTTGGTCCACTCCACACCCTCCACTCCCCCCTCATCTATTGGTCCTTTGGTCAATTCGCCGACCGAACTTGAAGTAAAACTTCGTTGTGAAAATTTATGGTGTGCTCTATGAGCTGGCATCGACTATGGCATTGGCATATGGTCAGCTGGTCCGCTGGCCGCTGACCCTACCAAAAACGTGAAAACATATGTCAGGCGCGGCATTGCGGTTTTCAAAGGGGCAGTAGATTCGAAAAGTATATATATGCCTGAGCATGTGGGAAACAATTTAACGAAAAAATGTAAACTACTAAAATCATTTATCATAAATGTAGTGCCGGGGTTAGTTTAAGGAATCCAATTTTATGTTCACGATGAACTGAACCTTAGAACGGACAAGTTAAATAAAGAACAACCGAACCTATCGCTGAACGGAACAGAACCAAACTGTGGGCCTGGAGTCGTAGATGCGGAAACCAGCTTAAAGAAGTAAACCTGGCGGCCATCGATGCGAACCTCAGACAATTTTTGCGGGACTAGCTTTTAACTATTTCTAAAATTTGTACAGGCATTGGCAACCTTTCTTTGTAACTCAATCAAGTCGTATAAAATATGAACGCTTGAACTTTAAAGACAAGCCTCACTCTACAAACACCAACAACAACTATAGTTACAGCTAACTTGGCTAATTACAATTTCTAATAGCAACAAGGACTGAAGCCAAGCATAGCAGAGGGCGTGTGAAGGGGGCGCTGCACCACTTTCTGCAATCAATAACAAGCACAAGCACAACAACAACTGCAACAACCACAACAACAGGCACAACTACAATGCACAAACAACAACAAAAACAACAACTGGCTGATAATCAATAAAGCAAAAGCAGGACTCATATATCCATAACAACCAACAAGTGGAACCAGCCAGTCGATGCCGCTGGCCATGGAGCCAGAGTTGGAGCTGGAGTTGAAGCGGGAGTTGCAAACAGAGTTCGAGTTAAAGTTGTTGCAATTGTTGTTCTTGTTGGTTGTTAGGGCTTACGGGAATTTGACTGAGGCATTGGGGTGTAGGGCCGTACGAACTTTAACTACTCGTGTTAATTGTTGGCCCTCGATTGCAGCGGATCAGCCTTGCATGGCCAACAATTAAATACCATGCAATACGTTGAGTGGTTCGGTGGTTGAGTGGTCCCTTTTTTTTTTTTTTTTTTTTTTTGGCGCACCACACACAGTTGCCCCTAAAGCCTAAATACTGGCAAAGGTAACTAATACTCAAATTAAAATGGAACAAAAGCTGTACATGTTATCCTCGTAGTAAAATAGCTTGTAAATAATACAGCTCATGTTAACCAATACAAATAGTTTTAATTGAATAGATATAGATATAGCTATAGAATTTATTTTATTTTATATTATTATATTTTTAATTACTTGTTTTGGGCTCGTGCTTTGTGCGCTTTAGCAGAAAATGATAGGTTCCAATAAGAATGTCGCATATGCATGCAATTTTTCTCAAATTTGCCAAACACTGCACAAACATTGCACACTTTGCAGCACTGCTCTTTGTAATAATTGCAACCCATGCGGCGTATGTGAAATATTTGCTAAGTACTCGAGCCTGGCAACAGCTGCCGGCCGCAAGGAGCGCAATTAAAATAGCACAAAAGTTGTTTAGGCAGACACATTTTGATCGTTTCATTAAAACAGAAATTCTAGAAGAGCAAGGGGGGTAGACGACAGGACCAGTCGAGGGGCACAGGGGCACGGCCGAGCTGACACTTAATTGCAGGTGTGCATGGCAAGGTGACAATTTTGCGTCAGTCGAGCGAGCAACGCGCCAGCCAGGGTAACACACCATGACTAGGGCGGGGGGTCGCTACAAGAAGGTGGGGAGGGGGGATTGAGGGGAAAACGGGCTGCAGCATTTTGGCGAGAAGTAATTGTTTTTTAAGCCACGACCGCTGCAAATTATGCGCGCTGCCTGTCGATGGCTACACAGCAATAACAAAATTATAAAGAAAAAAAATGAATGGAAAGAAACATTTAAGTTGGAGTAGACAAAGGCGAAATACCCTTCCATAAGAGCTTATGAGATTGATTTAAACAGTTAAATACACTCCGCAGATATTAAACCATAGCTGATGAAACTATTGCAAAATACAAAAACTGATTACATTTGAAGTAAACTTCAAAGAAACTGTTTTAAGCAATTAAATGTTTAACCCTATAACTATGACTGATATTGGATAGAATATTAAGATATTTACATTTTTATAATTCTTAGATTTGATTAAAAATTGTAACAGATAAGAAACTCACTTTTTTATTCAACTTAAATATTTTTGATGATGACTGAATTTTTAAAGATGGTTTATATAACTGATATATATATAAAGATAAATGAGATATATGATGAGAATATAACTGCTGTAATATAAACCTGAGAGTCTTATGTCGAGACGTAACAATATTAAACAATATACCTTCTAAAGAAAGAGCAAAGATTGTTTTCATAAAGATAGATTAAGTAGATATAATATTAGATGTGCTTTATCGACTGCATTTATAGTTGTTCTTCTTCTTAAGATCCAAGAAGTTCGTTCTTTAACGTGTTACATATTTCAAGCCAAAATACAAATACACTTCGTTAGGGTATGCAATAAAAATAAGGAAAACCGAGGAAGGCAACAAAAAATTAATAACTTTGTCGCTATCTTTGGACTCGGCCGCTGTTGCTCTCCCGCTGCTGATCAGTTGGGGCGCAATTACAGTGCGCAGTTGGGGGCGTGTCTCAGCAGCAGCTACTGCAGCAATTTTTTGCGTCTTTTATTTTATTATTATTTTTTTTCGCTGTTGTTGTGTTTACAAGTATTTTGCGGCAAGTTAAGTACACAAAATTATCAGAAATTATATGCACTTTTGGGCAGCGGCGATACTCGATCTGCGTCCAGCGATAAGGCGGCGATAGAGCAAAGCGCTTAAAGAACAAAGTATAAAGAGAGGAAGGGGCAGCATACAAAGGGCCACCCCGTATGCCTTGTAAGGGGGCACTACTGTAATTTCACGCAACTCTGCCGACATGCATAATATTCATAATTTCCATATTGAATGCTCAAGCCGTTGCTAAGTTTTATCTGCGTTGCGTATACGCAGTGTGAGAGAGCAGAGATTGATTAATAAATTAGAAAATCAAGTGAGAAGTGCTTTCTTTCGGAAGCCGCAGTTTAAATACCCTTGCAGAAATATGGCAAATATGTGATAAGAAATTTGTTACAAAACACAATTTGCAATTGATTGCTTAAACATAGTTGTTAAATAAAACCTTAAAAAAAAACTAGTTTGAACTGTTTTAGTTGTCCGACTTTGACAAACCATTAAAAACACATGTTCAGTTACTTATATTAGCTTTAGAATACGGCTTATAAGTTTTTGCAAAAATATTAGGAAGTTAGTAGGTCGTCAAAAGATATCATTAAGATTTTTTAATGTTAAAAGAATTCACTCGTCGGTTATATAAGTCTATACTGCATAGAGAGGCTGCTGTAATTATTGATAATATGATACCAAGAAATTCTTTTAACAAAAACTTAACTGTCGTTTTTTCTGGCAATTGTTTTGGATCACAATAAATCTTCTAATTGGTAAGTTTGAACAAAGAATGTTTACACGTCAGTCAAGACAGTTGGCTAGTTGACAACTATCCCAAGTTTTAGTCCAGGTAGCTTCAAAAACGAAAGACTATTGATGCCGCTTCAGAGATGTCTCACTCGTGTTACAGATTCCATGCCAAATTCAAAATACCCTCTGCTGTGGCATAAAAAAAAGACCAGTAGCACAAATGCTGTTTGCGGCATCATTTATCAAAAGCTGGGCCCAACAAGCCGCAGATTGATGGCCAAGAGAGAGAGAGAGAGAAAAATAACAAAGCAGTTGACTTTAGAGTTAAACGTTTTCATTGATTGAAATCTTTCAGTAATCATAGAGATACACACACTTGCCACAAGTTGGCTGCCCTGCGGGGGGCTGGGGCACTCGTCACTCACCTTTTGCCGTTGCGTCGCCTTCGCTTGGTGGCGTAGACGGTGCCCAGTTGGCTCATTGCAAGGGCGGAGTTCGTGATGGTCGCCGTTGTGAATGATTTTTTCTTTCCCTTTTTTCAGTTTTGTAACACACACTTTCTGCTCGATTGAGCCGCGTTGCAACGCGTGTTGCAAGTTCGCCTTTTGATTTGTAATTGGTTTTTATTAAGCTGCAGTCCTGCTGTGGCTGCGGCTGCTGCAACTGCTACTGCTGCAGGATCTCAGCAGCTGCGGAGGCTTTTTGGGTTTTTGCCACGTTTTTGCATTTTTCTTTGCTTGATCATCACGTCTCACATTTTGTTTAAATACGCTCTTTTTTTTTTTGTTTTTAATTATTGCACTTTTTAGTGGATAACACTAAGAGCTTAAGTATGTAAAGCTGAGTTGAGAGAAGCAATTTTAAATTAATTTAACTATAGGGCAATTTATCAATGTTCTAGAAACTAATAATAATGTGGTCCAATCACATTTATACGAGTGACCCTTATCGCGTGGTGAATTAATTTAATGGTTGTTTAAATAGGGTATATATTTCTAGATATAATGAACTTAGAAATATTAAACTTTAAGCATATGTGTGCCTTATTTAAATTTAATAGAACCCTAAACAAATATATTGATGCAGCCTGAATGAAACGTTTATGCAGCAGGAATTCGCATAGTTTATTTGTATATTTTGTGGCAGAAATATACAAATCTTAATAACATTTTAAAAGCATATTTAAAAATGTATTATCACTAAATTCATTTTTATTTTATTTTTTATTTAGTTTCCAGACACTAAATGGGAATTACTTTTATAATTTTCAATTACCAATTAATATAATAAACAATTTAGTATTTGTGAATTCTTTGAAGTACTTTAAAACGTTCATAAGAATCCAATACTAGCTGACATTTACCAAAATTTGTTATTAATATACTTCAATTTTATTATAAGGTAGAGACCAGACTATATTGTTTAACTTTTTATGATATGTATCATTATATTAATAATGATTGTTAATGATCGCGTTCTGTCACGCAGACACTTTCCAGTGTTAATAACAACTTTAATATACATTTTAATAAAAAATTTAGCAATCAGTAGACGCTAGTGATATAAAAAATAATAAAAGTATTTATAACGACTGCTAATTCCGCTATGCACAAACATTGCCAATGTTAAACAACAAGTAAAATGTGAATGACAAATATGCCCAGAACTGTGCAAAATAAATTTTTTAGTTCGATTAGCACTGTGGGTGATTTGATTATGTTTTTCTTTTATTTTATTTTATTTTTATTTTTGTAACACTTTTGCTTTTCACTTGCACGCATTGGGCTGCTCTCATTGTTGTTGTTATTGTTGGTTTAGTTAAGCGTTGTTGGTGTTGACGCCCGATGACGACGCCAACGACGCATGCAACAAATCAGCAGGCCAAACGCAAGAACGGCACGCAAATCATTTTCAAGCTCAATGCGGAGGCGTCGCCAGCAGCAGAGGCGTCGGCAGCGACAGCAACGGCAACGGCGCTTAGGCGAGCTGTCAAAGTGACATTTTGTGTGGCATTCAGAAGTGAATGACCGCACCGGCGGCAAAATTGGCAGCTTTCTGCACTTGCACTTGTCTCTATAAAGTAATTGTTGTTGTTGCTGTGGCTGTGGCTGTTGCGTGTGGAGAACTATGCCAGGCGGCCTGTTCGAATTTGTAGGGTATCGCGTGACAGACAGGAGCGTCACAGAACGCAAAACGCAAATCGAAAATCGGAAACGGAATTTGAATTTTTTTCGAATTTGATTTTGCGTTGGCTTCTTTCTTTTTCTTTTTGCACACTTTTTCACTTGCGTTCTAGCACGCAGGTTTTCAACACTGGCACTGATCTCTGTGTGGCGGTACCGGACGAGGCGCCAGGCGTTGGCGTTGGCGTTAGCATTGACGACGGCAAACACCGTTAGTTGGCAACGACTGCACGCGAGCGGCAGAAACGAATGAATATGTGAATGCGCGGCTCAAACTCAAAGCTGAAAAGCTGAAGACGCTTGAAATGAAACACGCTGTGCGCCTCATTCCCACTCACTCTCACGCACGCACGCTCTCTCACCAGGCAACTGTAAACTGCCGACGGCGTTGACCGTTGCCGAAAATATAAATTATTTTTGTTTTGCTTTTTTGTATTGTTGTTGTTGTTGGTGTTTTTTTTTTTTTTTTTTTTTGCTATTGCGCGAGCGACGATTCTCGTGTGGCTCGGTGACTGCGCGGCCACGTCGACGCTTTGAGAATCCAACAAGAACTGAAAACGAAATTGGAAAAAACCAGTCCTGCTTGAAACGTTTTGGCAATTGGGACACGCTGCTGCGCTCTGCTGTGTTTATGTTCTTTCCAGTCGTCCTGGCAACGCGATCGTCAAGCGGGCAGCGCTGGGTGCGAGCGAGAGCGAGTACGCAACGTTTGCCGGTCCATTGCCATTGTTTCACATTGTGCGCGCGCCTGGAAAGTGCCAACTGCAACAGCCAATTATGGAAGCGTGCACTGCGTCTCTTTCTAGCGCAAGTGAGTTATCTGCTCGTTGACTTTGCGCTCAAAGTGAACGGGGCGTGTACTCACCAATGCACGCAGACATGTGGCATATTGCTAACTCTGTCTATCGCATGGGCTTACAGCTATGGATGAATGTGTGCGCGTGTGTGTGTGTGTGTATGTAGTAATTCATTATGCTGTAATTAAGAGTTTGTTCTCCCTATTTTTTTGAAGCTGGGCTTTTATGGTCGGTTATCATTTCAAAGGCATCGCCTAATCGCATATCGAGCGAGCGTTTTGCATCTGGCTTGCATCAACTGCGCTCGGAAGTTGCATTCGATGCCGTATCCAAATCGCATTAAGCTAACGATTTAAATGAGCGACTAGCTGGCATTTAACTGCCCGCAGCCCATTAAAAAAGCAACAACAACAATCAACACGAGTCATAACGACAAACACAACACACAAAACACTTGGCGTTGCCACTTATCTCAATGATTTATTTGTGCCACTGACGACGACTACTACAAGACACAATTCTCGGAAGAGCCCAAACAAAATGTCTGCACTCAAGGCGCACCAGCTGAGGGCTGAGAGGAAGATAGAAGCAACTCAGCTAAACTAAAATGCCGCCATATGTCCGCATGTAACCGCAGGCACTGGCCACAGATGGCACAACCAATGAGTGAGAGTATGGGAACTATGGCAGGCAACACAACAGTTGACTAGTCTCTCACCAAAAAATACAGAGTGAGAAAATAGATGGTTACCACATATTAAAAGTCCTATGGATTAAATCATCTCTCAATAGCATGAAACTTCCTAAGAACTCCTTAGGCTGCAAACTTTGTAATGTAAATGTAATAATTGGATTAAATCTAAGAAACATATAAATACGAATTGTGCGAAATTAGTATGTATTATTATGGCCAATATTGCTGGCCGATTCCTCGCATACTCAATAAAACAAAAGAGTACACAAAAATAAATAAATACAAAGAAAAATTACTATTCTATGCATATATGAAGTTAACCTAACTATTTAAATATTACTGAAAAATACTTCCTTAGGCTAAAACAATACACTAGCCATGAATGCGAACCTGAATCTTCATTGCTTAAATCCCCAAAGGACTTTGTCGCCTAGATTTCGCGAAATATTTGCATCTGGATAAGATTTTGCTCTTGGCATAGGAAAGCTCATTATTGTGAAGTTCAGCTATGACATATTTAAAAACAATAACGTTTTTATTCCGTTTTAACCTTAATTATGTGAAAAATCTTAATAGGATCCTTAAAAGGATGCCAAGCTTATAATTGTTGAAGTTTGTTTAAATATTTTGAAATTCAAAATATCTACTGCATGCAAGAAACATACGGATTTGTGACATGTTCCCTAAAGACAGCTTTACAACTGAGGGACTAGTTTGCATAGAGGCAGACCGAAAGGCAGACGGAAATGGCTATATTACTCGGCTGTTCTTACTGACCTATATACAAAATTATATATATACATTACATTTTAGATGTCAAAATGATACCACCCTCTGTAAGGATATAGAAAAATTGATTTAAAAATCTGTCGGAGGCTTTAATTAGAGTAAGGTATAATCAGCAGATTTGCGACTTACAGTCAATATGAAGGAGCGATAAGAAGTGAAAGATTGCCTAGGAAAAGTTAGCCAAAAAACTTTGTTTAAAGCAGTCAAAACTTTTGAGAACTAGGCTTAGCCTTTACTACCAAATGGATGTAGAATATTAGCCAAGCCTCACAGATATAACGGTTGCAAGGGTTTAAACACCCTGTTAACTTTCTTACAGCTTATTACGAAAATGGTCCAGCCTGCTGAATAACCCTGAATAAACAAAACTTAACTATTTTTTTGCTAACTAAGGACAGAATTTTTTCAGTGCACAAAATATGACGTCAGTTCAGACAAAAGGTGTCTGAAGTAGAATCGAACTGAAGGCAATTACATTGCGTGCTGTCTCTGCCAAGTCGCAGCCCAATGATTATCTCGTCTGGTCTAGTCGAAGGGAGTCTGGTTCTGGGCTTGGGAATTGGGTATTGGGATTGGTCAGCACCAGAGCTGCGCATGCGCAAATTCCCGCTGAGCAGGCGCAGGCAAAGGCGCAGCCAGAGGAGCAAACGGCAAAACAGAAGGCAAAAGGCAAGTGCAATGTCAATCGCAGCCACTAATAAGCCAACCGGTCACAGTTGCAACTGCAACAAGTGCACTCAGAAAAAAAAACAAGAAGCTTATACTTAAATCGAACACATACTAATTATCCAAACCAGACAAGGTAGATTCTTGTTAGGTCTTAAGCGAAATTCTTACTTCAAAAACATTGTTTTATAAATTTTAAATTTCTAAAGAGAACTAAATGCTTATGTAGAGTATTTTAAAACTATTTAATAATCCCCAAATCTATAATTATCAGATTTTTCTGCAGAACTTATGGCTTGTAGCTTAATTCAAGTTGGCAAATTATTGTAATAGGTCTTCTGTGGTAAATACCAGACTTCTCCTTTAACATTAGAGCAGCAGATAATGATTTGACCTCTACTTAAGAATACTACAATTTAAAACTCAAATGCAGCAATTTTTGTAGGTTATTTAAGACGTCAATATAATTGAAATTTTATTTACACAACGTATTAAGTTCTTCCTCAATCATTCCTATTATAAAAACATGGTTTTCTCTGAGTGCAGCGGCATTGAGATCTGCAACAGCTAGCCCCTTGCAGCCTGCCCCTGCATCGACTCGAGGCACTTGCAGCTTATCAATTTACGCTTGCGAGCCCGGCAACAGGACAGTTGCAGGTGCCTTTTGGCATTACCC